ACCGAGAGATATTTGTAAGTGCTCCCCTTGTTTTGTAAAGTTCCTTCAACTCCCGCGATTCTGAATGCGTGCCTGAGAGTTTGGGGGCAGACCCTGCAATTGGTCTAAATTGCTCGGTAGAAGGGTTTAAATTGGCACCTGGGACAAGTTGAATTGCCGGGACAGGCTCTTGAATTGGCCTGACAGGGATATGAATTGGCCTGGCAGGGACATTCCGACAGTCAGAATTAGCCTGACAGGGATACGAATTAGCCTGGCGGGACATTCCGACAGTCAGAATTAGGCTGACAGGGTGTCGAATTGGCCTGGCAGGGACATTCGGACAGTCAGAATTAGCGTGTTCAGGGTGTCGAATTAGGGAAGCACGGGAATTGTGCGACCGGGGCAGTCAAAAGAATTGCTCTGCCCGACAGTTTGTCCTACCCTCTAGGGGCGCCTCTCCGCAGCTCGCCACCTTCCTTCTTCCCGTGCCTTCCTGTTCCTCGGGGGTCCTACAACTTCACCCCTTCCGTAAGCATGGTTCCCCCTCTGGACCTGCAGCAGGCTCGTGGTCCCTCTATTACTGCCCACCCGGTAGGCTTGCCTAGTGCCCGGTCCCACTTTCCTTTTCCGGCACACATAGCTCACCTATAGGTAATTTTGCAGCGCAAAGGTCCCCCTGCGAGAAGTTGCCGGACGGCCAATGGAAAGGCAAATTTCCGCAACTTTCCCATAGCCCTCGCTAAGAAATTCTTAGCTAGTACATGCTCCCGACCATGTATTAAATTTTTGACCTCACATATACTCTTCATATTGATGTCAGCTGAATAGGCATGTTTTTGGTGTGTTGACCAGTGCAGTCGCGGCAATCTACAGACGCCTGCTACGCAAAACCGGCGAGTGCCATTTCCTAGTCAATGCCTCTCCAAGGAACTCCTGCTGAGTACCTTGGAACTCATATGAATGACTAGGCTCGCTTGAGACAGCTTCGCGTGCAGGTTGACATGGCCATGTCAACCTCGACCACCCAGCTTTCCCGGACTATCAACACGAGTTGCACCATCCGCAAATGTCGTATGGAGGCCTTAACCAGATCGCGTCCCAGCACAACTCTGCGCGCTTGCCGACGGTTCCCATGGGGAAATTGTCCAGGGGAGTCAAGGAATGCGAGCGGAAACGTGCTGGGCAATAGAACTAATGTGCTCGAGGGCATACGTAGCTTCAAAGTGAGCTTCAAATAAAACATCACAGTACTAGAGAAGCAGTTTGTTTGAGGAAGTACATGAAAGCGGTACCAACTAACTCCAGGGTGGGCCTCACTTCGAGCCAGGACCCCCAAGACTGGGTGCGAGCAATGCAATTGTTTACAATTCGTACGTCTGATAGAAGTTGTGTAAAGTGGGCCCAATGTAACATGAAATTGAGGAAATTCGTAACTTTTCCAAGGAAATTAAGGAAATATCCTAGCCGCTGGCCAATGGAAAGACCCTCATTGCATCATCCGCCCGCTCGAGCATGACCGCGACTGCGCGTAACAAAAACCTAAAGAATTCGTCGTATGTAGTCCTCTTTATTGGGTTGGCTTGCCCACCTAAAAGGTGGGCAACAACCTAGATATTGGATGAAATGGACGAGCATGCTCGGACTGAGACACTTACTCTTTGCGCAATCCGGAAGGAACGCCGTAAAACAAGGCACTGCGTTCGGGGCCTTGGCACTGCGTTCGTGCGTGCGTAGCTGCGTGCGTGCGTGGCTGCGTGCGTGGCTGCGTGCGTACGTGGCTGCGTGCGTACGTGGCTGCGTGCGTGCATGCGTGGTCATGCTCGAGCGGGCATTGCACCGATAATTCCTTTCACGGGGGTCCGCTGTAACCTTCATTCATTCATTCAGTGTATGTGAAGAAGTGCATGAATTTTCTCTCTTAGAGTGCAGTGTGTGGTGTAGGGTGTGAAGCATTTCACACAGCGGCAAGTCGCGCGCCTGCCAGGGATTCACACAGCAGCCCCGGCCCTTCATCAGCCTGTGACAGCTGCCGCAACTTCAAGGCGATTTGCTTTGTGTGCTCGTGAGGCAGGGAGCTCTGTCCAGCTGCCCTTGCAGGGTATCGAATTAGCGTGTTCAGGGTATCGAATTGGCCGTCAAGTTGGCAGGATTGGCTCGGGCTGGCATCCAAAAGCACATGACTTTTAAGGAATTTACAGAAAACTTTGCAAGGGGACCGCTTACAAGTGCCTCATGTGCGTATTAGTTTCGGTCCCACGACATGGAGTGGGAAAACTTGCACACCTGGTTACCATACTCTGGCAATGTAGGGAGGCAAGCACTCAGGGCCACAACTGCAAAATACCCAGTCACCGATGCCCCACTGTTTTTGGGCGGGGCCCCAGCGCGAAGCGCCCAGGGGGGCCCCGACCTGTAGGATTGCCCATGTCCGTGTGTGTGTGTGTGTGTGTGTGTGTGTGTGTGTGTGTGTGTGTGTGTGTGTGTGTGTGTGTGTGTAACGGACCAAACATAATATCTCGCCCGCCTGAAACGCGTTATAGGTACTATACAGCATTCTCTATTGCAAGGTATTTCGCATGTAGCCAACAAAAATCGTATGAGCACAAACAAGTTTGGCTGTCTCAATTGACCGAGGCCAAAGTCACATCAACGCCTCTCGCGCTAAATTTCATCCCGAAAGCTGCCGCGTATCTCATAATGGAATTCTGAGATGACGGCGTATGATAACTCCAACACCCAGCTTGCGTTACCATTTGCCGGCATGGGTAATCCGACTTGCCACCAGCAGGCCAACATGATTTGCTTTCACTTCTCTATGAAATACACAAGCTGCGTGTTTGTACATTTACTTTGGCCAATGCACGGGGCCTCCGAAGACTTGCGGTGTGCCGAGATGAAGCTCGCGGCTGTGGGGCGGATTGCTGAGGCCGCTGGCGCTTCGGGGATAAACATCACAGACAGCACCGAACTTCACTCAGCTTGCGTTACCAATTTGCCCGCACGGGCATTCCGACTTGCGGTCTGCCGCACTGTCCATGCGGCATGCACCCAGGATGGATGCGATTCACGTGGAGAGCGCAGGCGGTGCTGACGATTCCGCCGGTGCAAGCTTAGCTCCCACACCATCAGTACTGCTGCAACAAAGCACATCTCCCACCGCAGTGACACCACCCATCAATTGTCACACGTGCCGTGCTAGCTACCGGCCTGTACGGATGCAGGGGGCCCCCGCCCTTTTTCCGGCTTCGAGGAAGCCGACACCCGACTTGTCCCACCACACTTCATCGGCAGCTTGTCCAGTTTATCCCACAATTCTCGTATGCATGATTGGTTCGGGTGGAAACAATGGGGAATCTCTGATACACACCACTAAACTCAGTACCACGAGCTACAATGAAAACAAATAAAAATGCAGATGCCTGTGGAGAAGAATGTGTGCTCCATATGCATTCTGTGCCTCAATCCATCGAGCTCTCCATTGGGCGGGGCATGACCCATGAAGTTGCCCCTGGTATTCCGCCCATGCAACCAAACACTGACACAAAACGTTGCACGTCTGGGCCCATGTAAACCACGACACTTCCGTGTGGATTGGCGACCCGCGCTCCCCATGTCAGGGGTCCTCCCTCCTGCTGGTGACTCCCAGATTGTCCACGCACAAATGCCAAACGTTGGCGCAGAAAACAGACAGGCCACTGCAGTATGGCATCAAATCATGCATAACCCACATCGGCTTTCAGCAGCAGTACTGCTTGGCCAATGCGACCAGCCATGTACTCCGTTGCGCATCAAACACAGGCAGCTTGACGTATGCTTCGACAATCTTGCGACCTTCACCGCCGACGATCGTCTTTTCGCCAAGAATATGAACGTTGTCCAAGCCGCCTACACGGTTGGGATTGCATGTCTCCTGCCGTCGTGCTATCAGGTATTGCTGCCCACATTCATTGGCGTGATGCTCAGCTCGCCAGCGACAATCATATCATGTATTGTGCTGGACCAGCGTTTAGCATCCTGTGAAACATTTTACACGGCTCTATGCGTTTTTCCTTTGGCGCCATGTCTTGGTTTCGGAGACTATTGGAAACACCACGAGCTCTAGCGCACCTCTAACGTCTCCCTAAGTTAACTCTAGTGGAAATAGCGGATCGCTATTTGGAAACACCCTGTTAGTAGCAACCTGTCGTGTGGTTCCGGAGAGCTTAATGGAAACACCTGTTCAATAACGACACACTAAGCCTACATTAAAGAAATATAATAGTAGGTCTACTAGAGTTAAGTTAGAGGTAGGACCGTTTTCAGTAAGGCCCGACGATCTTCCTCCTCCCACGTGCAATCGCATTCCTGAAGTGTAAAATATACATAACCATGATAGTGTAACAATGTACATTTATGTTCCCTGCGGAAACTGCTACCGGCCGCGTGAAATTTCAAATACGGACTTAGAGGTCGATAATTTCCTTGTTAGTTCGAAATTTACTATGCTGCATCCATACTAGCTATGCCGGCATCCCCGGCAACAGATTTTCTTAGCGCCGGGGACCTGCCGGCGCGGCTTTCCCCCGTAAACGGGGACCTTGCGAACTCCCCGTAAGAATGTCTAAAGTTTGGGAATAAAAAACTGCTGCATATCTGGCGTTACTTTGACCTTGCAAGGACCGAAACAAGGGTATGGAAATGTGGCATGTATAATGAAAAGCGGGAACATCGGAACATGTTGGCATCCGCACATTGGCATCCTAACCATTTGCTAGGTGTCACTTCCAATTACAAAATCCTCTACAGTCATGTGAATGGTGTTTGATTTAGTTTGGAAATTGAGAAGCCACGGTAGGCAGGTTTGAACGTTGCAATACACATTTGCGCTTTTTGAACGAACTGCAGCAAATGCACATCTGATGCACGTTTATATGGTATCCATTCCATAGGGTAGCAGAGATCCGTGCGATCGCCTCCGCGATAACGGTAGTTGGCACACTGCAGTTGGAGTACTGCAGTGGGGAATGGCTTCTGAGTAT